ACAAGTGTAGTTCTCCCTCCAAAAGATAGATAATTCCTCTTCCAAGAAGCAAGTCTCATTTCACATCTTTCTACAATTGAATTCCATAAATCGCCTTTCTTTGGATTATCTCCTTGGGCATTCCTAGATAATTCAGAGGCCATTTGAACATCGCACAACCCAAGATACCTGCGCACTCTACTACCACCTCAATATTGATTCCAACTATACAACTTTTCTCAAAATTCACCTTCAAATTAGACATTGGCTCAAACAGTTGTATAGTAAGTGTTAGAGTGAGCCGAATAGGGGTAGTTTAGTAATCTAATGTCAGTTAAGTACTTTGCTTATGTGGCTGTTTTATTAGAGCACTCTGCCCCACACTTAAGTGTGGGCAGTTTAGTCTTTGTAAGTGTAATTAGAACCTAATAAACATAAGGGGGTCGACTGAATGGGTGACTAATCAGTTTCAACTAAACCCTCCTGTTCTCTCTTTCTCTTGTCTTCTTCCTCATCTTCTTCTTCCTTCTTCACTGGTTCGGATTACTGTAGCTGCTCCAAAACAGTAAGCTTCACGTTCCTAATACAACTCAAGTCCCCACCCTTCACAAAATAGTACCATATCATCCATGAATTGCAAATGAGTAATTGATACTTCTTTCCTTCCCACTCTCCATCCTCTTACAAGATACTTGGAATCTGCTCTAGAGATTAGCCTTCCCAGTACATCTTCTACCATGGTAAACAAGAATGGAGAGAGTCTCCATGTCTTATAGCCCTCAACACCAAAAAAATCAACAACTGTCCCATTAACCAAAACAGAATAATGACAAGTTCTAACACACCCCACTTCCCATTTGCACCATCTATCTCCAAACCCAAAGCTCACCAACACATCAAGCAAAAAGGACCAATCCACCAAGGCATAAGTTTTCTCTAACTCAAGTTTGCAAACCACTCCTGTTTTGCCCAACTTTTTGAAGTCCACACATTCATTGGCTATTAAGATGTGATCAGCTATCTGTCTTCTTGTGACAAAAGCTCCTTGATTTGGTGGAATAATTGTAGGGAGGACTTTCTTGATCCTAAGAGACAGCACTTTAGCTATAATCTTATACAAACCATTCACCAAGCTGATTGGTCTAAAGTCCCTAGGCTATACAGCTGTACAGCACCTTCCTTTTTAGGGATCAAAGCAATAAAAGTGGAATTCAACTCTGGATTAATTACTCCCCTCTTATAAAGCTCATCAAAAACTGACAATAAATCCTCTTCCAATACATCCCAACAATCTTGATAAAATGCTATTGTAAATCCATCAGGCCCCGGAGCTTTTGGTCTATCCATAGAAAACATTGCCTCGATATGGAGGTTATTCTATGATGGGTAAAAAGAGATGCTCACTCCTTTGCTGATTCTTTAGCTAAACAAGGGGTGGAAAGAAACCAACAATTTTGAGCTTTGTTGTAATCATGTTTCTAATTAAGGAAGAGCTAAGAGAGTTTAACTCTCCCTTAATTTAACGAAACTATTTCAGTTACTGATCAAAAAAAAGTAGTCTAAAAAGAGAGTGGAGGAAATAAGAAATTTAACAAGCCATTAATAGAGAAATTTAGATAACAAGGGAGAGATCTTCACCTGGTATATATTGGTTTAGAAAACACATATGATAATGTCAGAAATCATCTGGTGGTTTTGGGAAGGAAAGGAACTTCAAGTAGGCATACTTGGAACCCTCCTGAGAGTGTCCAAGGTTTGTTCTCCCCATCGTTTTTCAGATGGCCTAAGAAGCAAGGGAAGATGATGTGGAGGAGTATTAGGGCAGCCATGTGTTGGTCACTATGGGAGGAAAGAAACTCTCGAATATTTTCAGAAAAGGAAAGATCCCTGGAAGAACTATTAGACCTAATACTTTTAAAAGGCTGCCCACTGGCTAAAAACTATGGAACTGTTCTCAGACTTTCCTATTGCTGACCTGTTAAGAAACTGGAAAGAGATAGCAACCTCTACTCTGTGTAAGAGGACTCTTAGTCCCTTGTGGTCCCCTCCTCCCTCCGGATTTATAAAAGTGAATTTTGATGGCAGTAGCATAAGGAATCCAGAGCCCTCCGGGATTGGGGGAGTTTTCAGGAATGAGGAAGGGATTGTTATTGCTCTGTTCTCAGGCCCTATTGGAGAAGGAGACTCTATTACGGCTGAGATCCTTGCAGCTTTGGGAGGGGTTCAAAGAGCAAGGGAACTAAATATCAGTCGGCTGATTTTGGAAGGTGATTCAAAGGTGGTGATTAGCTGGTTGAAGAAAGAGGACAGTGGCTTGTGGAGTTACAATAATGAAAAGAAAAAATTCTTATGGCTATGTAGAGGCATTGATATACAATACAGCTGGGTGAAAAGGACTGCTAATTCTTTTGCAGATGGGTTGGCCAAGCAAGGGGTGAATAGGGAGGCTATTTTTTGGCTAATTTTTAATCTTCTTTCCTTGTAATTTTCTGATGGGGAGATAAGACTCTTTATCTCCCCCTTTTTGTACCTAAAGCTTCATAAGTCTTAATAAAGTTTCTGTTATTGATCAAAAAAAATATCATTAAGGATATACATTAAGGAGTAATATCAATGGAGATCTCAAGAAGTTTAGATTGCTTGTAAGTATGGTGTGGTTGTAAAGATAGGGGATTGGGGATTAGAAGGATTAGATTATTTAATAAAGTGCTGTTGGGAAGTGGTTGAGAAGGTTTGGGTGTGAAAAGGATTCTCAAGGAGGAGAGTGATTGCTTGTAAATATGGTGTGTTGAACTTTGGTTGAGATACAAGCGAAGTGAAACCATCATATGGATTCTGTATTTCTGTGTGTGGAAGGGAATCATGAATTTCCATTCAACTTTCTTGAGTTATATTTCTTTTAATGTTGGAAATGGGGCAAGCATTAAGTTTTAGGAGGATGATTGGTTGGGAATTGGAAAACTATACGTTTTATGTCCAAGGCTATATATGTTGAGCAGGAAAAAGATTCCAATTTCACAATGCTATGAAGTCATCCAGGGTTCTGCGGTTTGGTGTGTTAATCTGATACCTAAGTTGTAGACAGCAGAGTTGCACATAGAGAGGACTGATGCAAGGTAGTGGAAGGAGAGTAGCAATAGTGTATTTTCTGTAAAATCATTTTACAAAGCATTAACAAGAAATCAGATTGAAAAGACAGACATAAAGGGTGTTTAGGGCAAGTGGGCAACCCTTTTCCTCCAAGGGTTGAAGCTTTTTGCATGGCTAGCTGCTTTGTACAGCATTCTTACCCAAGATCATATCAAAAGCAGGGGTGTCCAGTTGACAGGAAGATGTTACTTTTGTCTAGTGGAGGAAGAGGGTGTTCTTCATCTATGTTTTGGTTTTCATTATGCGAAGATCATTAGGGGTTATTTTTTCTCTCTATTCAAAATGAAGGTATTGTTTCCAATGTCACTGAAAGAGATTTTGGCACTTTGGTCAGCCCTAAATGGAAGCAAGAAGGTGAAGATAGCATGAAGTTGTCTTATATTTGCAATCTGTCAGGAGTTATGGAAAGAGAGAAATAGAAGAATTTTTTAAAACCACAAATGTCACAACTGTCTTGTCTCAATCATTTTGGAAAAGAATTTTGGATTGGATTATGATTCTTTCAGAATTTGTGGATGATTGTAAAGGCGCTTTTGGGATTGGTTTTGGGTTAATTTGTGGATAATAAAGTAATGCTTTAAGGTAAAAAAAGTTTCAAGATAAGTCAGAATAAGACAAAATATGAATGCAATTTTAGTAAAAACAAATAGTAACAATAAATGTGCAATTAAGATTGGTGATCAATAGATACCTTAAATTAAAACTTTCATACTTTGAATTAATAATCCATAGGGGAGAAATATAACAAAACGTTGTCAGTAGAATTAGAAAAGGGTGAGTGAAGCAGAGAGGTGCATCTAGTGTATTACATGTTCAGCACATACCAATGAGACTTGAAAGGAAAATGTTATGAGGCAGCTATATGAATAGCACTACAACTTTTGATTGAAAGACTTAGTCTGACAGAAACTCTTAGTGCATAATGACTCTTAATTGTGGCAATTCTGAAATTTTCTTTCTAGTTCTAATAGGATTTCTTATCAACAATAATCAGAAATTTTATTAATGTAAATGAAAGAACCATATACAATAAAATGAGATTGTGCCAACCATCCCTTTTTGTAGGGTAGACCCTTCTCCCTATACATAGAACATTCTTGTAGCTTATACACCAGTCAGCTATCTTGGTAAACAAACCCCCAATACAACTGAGTTTTATAACTATTCACTCCTTATCTAGCCATAGCAGCTGTGTACCATTGGTCAATCACTTAGCCCAAGGTTGTTCAGGGTTCCATAGACAATTGTTGCACTTCTAATCATGATATATCTATATTTCCAAGAGCCCTTGTTGTTGTTTTTTAGCCACCCACTTTCATTTTTGAGCCTCCTTCCACCAATGATTTTAAAATTGCCCTGGAAACAGAACCATTTCATCCTCCAGGTGGTGGGTTAGCAATTCAGTCATCCTGATCAAGTGGATCAACCCAAGATGTCATAATTTAGAATTTTAGATAAWAAAATTACTAGAAGATAAAAAAAAAAATAGCAGTATTGTAAGACCCTAATTAGACCACAATTGTCTACTCTGGTGGTTAGACGACTAAAAGCTCCGCCATTAGGGTGAACAAAAAGGGGGAAAGAGGGTCGCCTGTCTTAAGCCTCTTGTAGCTTCAAAGAAATTTTTAGCTACCCCGTTTACTAGAACAGAACAATACACTGATTTCAACCACCCCCGCATCAAAAGTCTTCATCTGTCACCAAAGCCACACAACTCTGGTGATTAGACAACTTTTTCCATTGCATTAATAAAATTCTATGATTGATGTTGCTGAAAAATTATCATCATCAACCTTGTCTGATCTATATGGGATCAGCTACATGTAAAATAAAATATTACTTTCAACATTCTAAAAGAGAGTAAATCTTACAGTATGGGAGAAATGATTGAACAGCATTCAAAATCACTGGACAGACTTCTTTAACTGGCTGGACCTCCTAAATAATATAATAGAAAAAAAAAGTGTCAGAAAACAACTTAATGAACTGATGAGGGACCAAAGTGAGATAACAGAAAGGAAAAACTGGAAACTGTGTAAGACCCTTCTTTTCAGGAAAAAAATTACCTGAATGGATTTTGCATCACTTGGAAATCCTGATACAATAAGCTGCCTTATTATCTTCGAACACAACAACCATCTCTCACAAGTTAGATACAGATCCTCTTGATGTTCCATTGAAGCATTTAAGGTAAAGCTCTGGGCTAATGCAGAAAAACCATTCAAAATGGTCTGCACATCCCTCTGCCACAGGTGCCAGCTATATTCAAAGAAATGGGATGATATCTGCAATAAAAGTATTCACAGAAAACCATAATAGCCTTTCTGTTAATAAATTAAGTTTGCACCTTGGGAACACAAAAGAAATTAAAGCTAATAAATATATTGCAACCTCAAAGAAACTGATGAGTTTCAAGATAAAAATGAAAAACATAGAAGCATACAATGCTTATATAACTTTTCAAAATTTGTTCATTAATACAAAGGTGGAGCAACGTATAAGCTACTAACCAATGTTTTAAAACACGGAGGCGGGACACGAGGCGCTCCACAACCTAGAGGCGTGAGGCATAGTTCAGAACGTAAGAGGTGTAAGCCTCCTGAACATGAGGTGTAAAGCCTCCTTGAGAGGAGGGGGGAATGAGGAAGAAGAGGAAGAAAAATCTCATTTTTTTTGTTTTTAATAAAAATCTTTTACATTAAGAAAAATGAAGATGCATAGCACTCAGTGACACAAGTCAACTCACCATCCCTTAATCCCCTACAAAATCCAAAGTCCCAGTTTAAAGACAAGGGATTAAACGGGTTTGGAAGAAACTGTGCAATTGGCTCATTTTTTTGAAGGGAGAGAGAGTAAAGCGAAGGGAACCGATCTTTGAAGGGTTGATTACCAGCCCAAACATCCTCCTAGAACCGAATAGAATCAGCAGAACAAGCATCATACCTGATAAACCTGAGGAAGCGAGGGAGAATGCCATGTATAGCCTTCCAAGGTGTTGTGAGGGTAGCTCGACGAGATATCCCAACATCCCAACCATTTACTGAGCAGCCAAAAATACTTGACACCACCACATGCCACAATCCCTCCTTCCTCCCACCACATGCCACAAATACTTGACACCATCACCAGTACAGTTATTGAGTGTCTGATTCACACTTTGTACACTTATTGAGTGCAGGATATGAAATCGAATTAGACACAAAGAATGAATTGCAAGAAAATCCCTTAATAGAGTTAAATAAGCTCTCATACAAAAGTAAAAAGCCCTACTAACCTAGGCATACACCGGTAGATTTGTTGTTTGAAGAACCAATGAAGCCCCAAATTAGCTATGATGGAAATACCTTTTATGAGTGGAATCTAGATGGAAAATCTGAATACCAGATTCATGAGATGGTTCATCATATGACTATATATGCTAGTGCCAGTAAACTAGCTGGAAATGAAGAAAAAGTAATAGCCACGATAATAACTGAGTCTTTTATCAGACAACTTAAAGGATGGTGGCAGAATTACCTAACTCAGGAAGAGAGGGATTGCATGCTTAATTCTATAAAAAGAGATGAAGATGGTGAAATGGTCTTAAGTCAAGGCCAACCCATTCAGGATGCAGTAACCACTTTAGTCCTGAATATATTGAGTCAGTTTATAGGAAACTCTGATGATATGACAGAGAGAATAAGCGAACAGCTTATTGATCTTAAATGTAAGACACTATCTGATTTTAGATGGTATAAAGATGTCTTTTTGTCCAAAGTTCATAGGTTAACCACCTCTAGACAAGATTATTGGAAGGAACAATTCATTTCAGGTCTCCCTCCATTGTTTGCAGAAAAAGTTAGGAATTACCTTAGGCATCTAGGTGGTGGTAGACTGTTGTACCCCCATTATACATTTGGGTATTTAGTACAAATGGTAAAACAAGTAGGCTTAGACCTATGTAATGATTTACGCCTGAAAAGGCAAATCAAGAAAGAAAAATCTGACTCTAAAAAAGAGTTAGGAGATTTCTATTATCAGTTTGGAGTAGCTCCCGAACCAACTAGCTCAAGACCAATACGGAGTAAGAAAAAACAAAAGTTCTACAAGAAAAAATATGAAAAGGAAACGTAGACATCAAAGTATTCTAAAAGGAAGAAAGAATACAAAACCCCTACATGCTTTAAATGTGGAAAAAAGGGACACTATGCAAATAAGTGTTTTAAAAACTCAAAGAAAATTAATGAATTAGAAGAATTTGAAAGAGAAGAAGAGGAAACTTCAGAAAGAGAATCTTCCACCTCTTCAGAAACCCACTGTAATGACATAGTCTGCACTTGTAAAAATGAAACAAGTATAGAAGAAGAATCAAAATGTGTTAATATGCTTTCATTAGATGAAAGACACCTTCTAGAAATCCTAGAAGAAATTTCTGATGAAGAAACAAGGAAAAAGCATTTGCTTATAGCAATGAAAAATAAAGGAAAAGATAAAAAACCAACATCTAAAAGATTGTTTGCGACAGAAAATATAATCCCATACGATGAATTATGAAGAAAGCCCAGGCTAGAAATTCGAGACCTCCCACTCTAATAGATCTCAAGCAAGAAGTCAGTGATCTTAAGAAGGATGTCAAGAAACTAAAGTCTAGAGTTGAACAACTAGAATCTTATAAGTATTTGACAGATCAGTCTAAGAAGACGTCAGAAGTAGAACCTGCAGAATTCATAGGAGAAGACAAAGAGTTTATATACTCTATTGAAGAAGTTAAATATCAAAAATGGTATTCAAAGGTAACCATTCGAATGAAAGATTTTAGCTTTTCAGCTATAGCCCTGATCGATTCAAGAGCCAACATAAATTGTATCAGGGAAGGAATTATAGCTACCAAATACTTTGAGAAAGCTTCTCAGCAGGTGAACACTGCTGGTGGAAGAAAATTAGGGATCAAATACAAAATCCCTATGGCACATATCTATAACCAAGGAACTTGCCTAAAAACCATGTTCCTTATGGAAAGGGACTTAAGACAAGATGTCATCCTAGGAACACCATTCTTATTGTCAATACTACCCTGCCAAAGACTCCACAAGAATTACACTACCATAGAAGAAATCACAATCACCTATAAATTCTGTCGGAACCCAAAATTACTACGATAAACACTCTAAAAGAGAGTTTTAAAGGAAAAGTCAAATTTATCTCTGAATTACAGACAGAGATAAAAGAAAAACAATTGGTTAACTCACTTACTGAGCCAAAACCCAATTGGAAATTGAGAATTTCCAATCAAAAGTAGAAAAAGAAATATGCACTGAAACTCCTAGTGCATTTTGGCATAGTGAGAAAACCCTTGAGTGAGAATTGTGTAACCTTCCAGTATTATTGCTTTCCAAAGATCTTTGTACTAAAACTCTATAAGTGTTTTTATTTACATTTTGTAAGCTTGGAGTTATATTTCTATCTAAATCTTTGCCGAAGCTTTGTTTCTACATTACTGTTATTCTTTACTTTGTTGTTATTCTACTCTCTCTCTCTCTCTACCGAGGCCATCTCCATAACCACTTCCCTAGGAGGGCTTCATTCTTCTACACTAAGTTCCCTATCCCCAGCCCCCTTCTTCCTTAGGTTTATTGACTATCTCCCATCTAACTAGATGGTCCTTTTTCACCTCTCCTGGTTCCCACAGAAAATCCCTCATTACCTTCAGTAGTCGATTTAGACTACTATCAGTCTTGAATTAAAAGAAAAAAGGATAAAAAATTGAAGAGAAGAGAGGAAGAGAAGAGGTACACGAAGAGAGTTTCAGAAAAGAGAGAGGGAAGGTTATACTTTCTGCCGACCCACTCTTAGTATTTATATAACTATTGGCTAACTAAAAAAGGGCTGAATTGCCCTTATTGCTTAATGGAAAATAGAACAAGAAATAACTAACTAAAATAACTAACAACTAACACTGTCATATCTAACAGAAATATTGCTGCCATATGAACACTGTGGGGACCACATCAGTGTTCTCTACACTCCCCCTTAAGTTTGGAATAGATATTTGTCATTCCCAACTTGCATAGATATGCCTCTAACTTCTTCCTTGGAGCAACCTTGGTGAGAAGATCTGTAAGCTGCATGTTGGAGGTGATATACAAAAGACACACTTCTTGAGATGAAACCCTTTCTCTGACAAAATGTCAGTCTACTTCAATATGCTTAGTTCTGTCATGCTGTACTGGATTATGAGCTATATTAATAGCAGCCTAATTATCACAATACAGCATTAAGGGCTTCTCATAAGCAATACCCAACTCCTCAAATAGTGATTTCAACCATAGGATTTCAACCACACCATTAGCCATGGACCTGTATTCAGCTTCTTCACTAGAACGAGAAACAACACTTTGCTTCTTACTCCTCCAGGAGACCAGGTTACCTCCTACGAAAGCACAATATCCAGAGGTAGACCTTCTATCATCAACACTCCCAGCCCAATCAGCATCTGTATAAACCTCTATCTTCATGTGATTATTATTCTTGAATAGTATACCTCTACCTGGGCACATCTTCAAATATGCTAATATCCTCTCAACTGCAAGTAAGTGAGTTGTCCTAGGAGAGTGCATATACTAACTAACAATGCTGACCGCATAACTGATGTTTAGTTGTGTGAGACAAAGCTAGAGGAGTTTTCCAACTAACCGTTGGAACATAGCTTTATCTTCAAGTGGCTCTCCACCCTCTACATTGATCTTGTGATTCTATTCAATAGGTGTATCTGCAAGCTTAACACCTAACTTTCCAGTTTCTTCCAACAAATCGATAACATACTTTCTTTGAGAAACAAAAATCCCATGTTTAGATCTAGCTACCTCAATACCCAAGAAATATCGTAGCTCTCCCAAATCTTTCACCTAAAAATCTTGATGGAGTTGTTTGAGAGACTTAATCTCACCGTTATCAGTCCTGGTCACTACAATATCATCCACATATATAGGAAGCAAGGTCAAGGAAGAGTCCACTCTCTTAATGAACAATGTATGGTCTAATTGGACTTGTACATAGCCGAATCTTTCAAGGGCTTGTCTGAATCTATCAAACCAAGCTCTGGGAAACTATTTGAGTCCATACAAGGCTTTATTCAACCAGCAAACCTTCTTTCATGTTTCTGCATCATAAAATCCAGGAGGCAACTGCATGTAGACTTCTTCTTGCAAGTCTCCATTGAGGAAGGCATTTTTAACATTCATCTGGAACAAGGGCCAAGAGTTACTGGCTGCAAGGGACAATAAAACTCTAATAGTGGTCATCTTTA